GGACCGTGCACGCCTCGGACGAACGAATCGCGATTCAGAAAAGGCCGAATCCGACTGACCGAGCGCCCGAAATAACTTTGCATAAGCGACTTTTCGTTTGACGTATTTCAACCGATGGCGACACGGCCATCGTCGGAATGGGGGCTTTATAAGCGTGATATGAAGTAGTAAGAATCGATGGACGTGTGAGGAATTATTATGAGACGTTAGAGGGACAGTTGGTTCAGTATGTTTATTAAGTAAAGGGTTAGATTGTTTAGTTTGAATAGGGGGAAACATATTGCATACCGAATAGAATTTCGAAATAGGAAATAAGAAATACAAAATGCGAATTTTTTAATTTTGAAATGTTTCAATTTTTCGGTGCTAAACTAAATTCTGCTTAAACTTATCTGTACGAAATTAGCATTACTGCAGAATAACCGAGGAATCCTTTCATGTTTTTTCAGGAAAAGTTATTAATTACACCTAATTATGAAACGTGATTTCAATAGCCAAAAAATAAAATGCTTCCACGGCACTATAATATTTCTTTCATTATTAGAATACGAAAACTAATCGCGATGACTTTTAATAAAATTCTCACCTTATTCGTAACTTGTTAATGCCCTCGACTGGAAGCTATCTTCCGTTCGCGTAAAAAATAATCTAAAAAAAAAACATCTATGTACGAAAATCCGTGATCGACGCGTTAAACCACTACCAAATTAAAATGTCTAACATTCTTCTACCAGACAGAAAAATTCAATTATTCGCGCAAACGTAATCGCTTGAAAAAGCCGGCGGTAGTACCTCCGAAATTGTCAAACTTCTCCCTCGGCTGGTTTTAGTCATTTAAACGCGAAAACTGTCCGCAGTTCCGTTGAATCAATGAAATGTCTATGGAAAAACGAGGGAGGAACAGCACTCGGCGAAATTCCATTAAACTAGTTGGCGCGGATACGGGATACCGAAGAGGAACGCACAGCGAGGAAAAACGAGAGGCACGGAGAACGGGAAAGAAAACAGACGATGGAAAAAAGAAAAGGAGGAAATGGCGCAAGCAGCCTGGTGAGAACGTCAGCTTTCGTTTTGTCGGTAGGTTTATTATAAACGGCCTCGTTTTCCTCATTTCGCAACACGGTCAAGTGGAGCATCGCATGGCGAAAAATAATTTTGCTCCTTTGCGTCAAGAAACGCGGCTGACCGAACCATGATTCCCTTAGACGGAGAAATTCGCCTTTTTTATTGTACGAATTATCAAATTTCGATTACCTAGAGATCTACTCTCTCTGATAATACTTTGACAAGTTTACATTGCAATTGAACAGAGGGGAAAAGCGATCGTAATCGGAAAAAGTAAAATTTTCAGTACATGTGAACAACAAACTCTGTGAACAGTGACGATCCAACATTTAAGGGGCTATGCTATTGTGACGGTTTCAGAAAATCGGATTTTTCATTTTTGCAATTTGCAACAATTTTTTGAGGAAGAAGAAGGTGTATTATATGGCCCGGAATAATCGTCAAAATAGTTGAAGGAGAATAGAATGAACTCGAAACACCTGGTGCGATCGTGAGGGCTGAAAGGATCTAGTAACAATCCACACATCAACTTTTCGCGTTGACCATTGATTTCACAGTCGTGAGACGGAATGCTTCCTTGAAATGCGATAGGAAATCCGATCGTTTTCGATTCTCGGAACCGAAGAAATCCCGGGTGTAAGAGGGAAACCCGGTCGAATCGTAACGTGTCGTTAACCCTATTCCGTGAGAGAGCCAGGTGGGGGAATCGATAGTAATGGAGCGTTGATGTGCCGGTGACCGGGGAATGGATGAAAGCACGCCACTTCCGGGAAACGGGGGAACCGGACGTATATCTCCCTATCCGTCCCCGGGGGAGTAAAAAAGTTCGATGAAAGTCATAACGCGAATCGCGTCGCGTATTTATTCAGAGCCGGCTGGAAAAAAGCGCTTTAAACTTGTTGCTGAAAGAAAAACAAACCACAGGATACCAATAACGCGGGAAATGACTCGATAGACGATCAGAGAGGTCCGAATAAATAGTTTCGGGGCGTTCGGTGGTATATCATCGCGAACAAACTGTTTCAGATATACGTGATCGGAACATCTGACTAGGAATTTGAACATTTCAAGGCTTTGTAGATTTTCAGAAAAATACCTTCAGGTGGTTAAACCACATATGTTTGGAACAATTTGTTCACAAACCCACCGCTACTCACTGCTATAACCACGGATATTTATTCTTCGCGTCGAGGCGCTCGTGTTCCTTCGTTATTTCTTTTGTTTCTTGCCTCTTTTTTTTTTTGCTTTCGTTCGATTGAAATTGTTTACGCGGCCGATCGACTGGAAATAAAAACGTTTATCTGTTGCTCCAAATCGGCTGGAACCGTGCTCGAAAGCGACGAGAAGCCAGATTTCCATTTTTCCGCAGTTATCCAGCCCGTTTCCCATAAATAATGCATGCACGGCCGCGATGCAGTGCGTACGGTTGATCAACGAAACAGATTGACACGGCGGGAAGGCGGCTGTGTTGCATGTAGGTGTTTATGGGCCGACGTTATTCTTCGCCACGGGCGCACGGAACTTGCTCGTCGCAATCGATCGGAACTCCTGGATTAAGAAAGTTGCAGCGTAAGGAATGAAAACGGTGGGGAAACGATGGTTGAATTGAGATTATTGTACAGACCTGGAAAGTGCTTTTCCCCTTGAATGACTGACCCGGAATTCTTTGTTACCCGCCGTTAGGGAAACGTACCTGAATTGTAAGTCTCATGGAAATCGATTTCGGAGCTGCTAAGGCTTTTGAAATTGACGCTCGAAACTTCGAACGGTTATACACTAACATGATGAGCAGTATAGATCCAGTTCACCCTACTGTTTTAGACGTAGCATTGATTTCTGGCTTAAACAGAAATACGCGTAAAATACGTGCGACACGACGAATAATTCTACCTGAGAGATCCGCTTTTCAACTATTTCACGAGTTTCATTTCCATTCATTTCACTTTATTCCATTTATTAAATTTAACAAGGCTGTCCGTAGAACCCGTGTACCAACTGGGAGTGGGCTATTCAAGTAGTATGTATAAACCATCGTGTTAGACGCATTTTACAGTTATTTTCAAGAACCAATAACTTGGAAACGATGCCTCATAAGCAATTTCGTCATTCTTCATTTTTGTCTAGTTTGGCATGTATGATCCATTCTGCGAAAGCGTCCCACATTTCTATAAACACCCTGTATTTGTGTCTTTCAGTAGTACGAGACATCATGAGTTGGCATACACGGCATTTGAACGAAACAGGCGCCAAGCAAAAGCCTCGACAAGTTTCTAAACGTACTCAATTAAAAGTTCGTGCCACTCGAACGAAAGCGTTAGGAGGGAGGTAGGGGTACGGTTGATTCAATCTTCAATTTTTTTTTCTCAAGTGGATCTACGTCGCTCACAGGGAACGATCTACCGAGTATTTCATTATCGCCTCGATTACACGAGTGGCCCCGGTTACTGCCAGGCAATTTCACTCGACCCCATCGGATTCATCGCGACGCATCCCCCGGTTTCAACTCTACCGTGGAACCGCATTCCTTTTTCACCCGTTTAACCTTTGTCTACCTCTTTCTTCCGGCGATTTAACACCGCCGACTATATATTTTCATTGACTGCGTTGTCGTAGTCTGGCTCCCTTGATCGAGGTTCGGGTACGATTCGATCGATTTCACGCGATAATGATTCTTTCGTTGTGTACGTGAATAAATATTTTCTGTATTATTATAATTGTGACACCGCTTTTGGCGATCGCTCGTCACGCTGTCAGACATATCGCGCGGTAAAGAGCTGACTATTTGTCCCGCGACAGCGTTAGTTGTACTTATATGGAGAGCATGACGCTTATTGCGTGCACCATGATCACCTTTTTGTAAAGATCTCTTTCGGGGGACGGATAAATGAATAGAAATCGTTGAAATTTTGAACTTGTTTTTTTCCTGCATCGTGAATGGTTGATCGTGTTTTCATTGAGCTAATGATTGTGATAATTGTATATCCAGAGTATTTTGTTATAAGTGGTCGTAACATGTACGCTCAAACAGAATCCATGTTCATATATATTTTTTAATTATTGTGGTCTATTATATTCATTTCGAAAATTACAGCCACTAACGGAATAAAGTATTCGTCTCCCTAATAATGTACCGAATAAATCATAATTCGTTAACCCGTTCGGAATGTATAACAAAACCACGATACTCGATTATTTTGATTATTGATTATTTGATCGGACTGGTCGGTATTCATTTCGGATGAAATGGATATCTCTTTCCCCCTCATACGCTCGAAACGCCCAATAAAATTGTCGCGTTACAGAAAATATCAAATATGTAGGTACATCCAATAATTCGATACGATGCTTCGATTGAAACAAATGAAATTCCAAGTTTCAGACGACCACTTTGGATCGGTAACGCGATCGCATGAACGCCGATTCGTTCGCACTTTCATCTGAATTGCAAAGCACTCCCCATCTTGACGAGCATTCTGCATTTACGGGCAATAATACTCCCTGGCAGTCGATTCAACAGTTTCTCTCGGCGTATCTTACGATTGAAATATTAAATAAACGAATGGATATCGAAGCAATCGAAGAAACAATAAACGCTCTGAATATTACAATCTCGATTCTCATTGATTACTGCGCCATAATCGATCACCTTTACAATACAATATACTCTACAAACAATAATTTCCGCCTCGAATGAACAATCCAACAGGCGTATCCTTTTCGACAAAAATTGAAATTAATATTTTTCATATATTTATGCAATAGAATTTCATAGTCTCCGTGACAAAGTATCAACGTTCTTTTCTATTCATTTATACCATTTCACGGGTACACATAGTTCCGTGGACACGTATTATTATACGCTCACATTCGACAGTCATGCGTCACCGCCGTTCTACTATCGAATAATAAAGAATTATAAATTTCCGCTGACTTACCGAAAGGTAGGTCCAAACGGCAGTCTATGAGCAGAGAGTGCCCGGTTGGCTTTTTCGTACCGATGATCTCGGCGCCCCTCATTTCGAGCTCGGAGTCGAGGCTGACCCATTGTGCGGAACCCTCCTGAAAGGAGAATCGGCACGGCAAACATTAGTAGCAAGAAGTCCCCGGCGGAGAGAGACCGCCGCCCTGGCGGCCTCCATTACGGGGCTAATTGGACAGATTAAACGCACAAAGAGATGCAAATGCGCGTAATCAAGCCCCGCGGGGGAAACTCAATCCCGACTTATTGTGCTTCGTAAAATCTCGAATGAAAATTCCCGCTTCGGGACGCGAATATCCATGGTTAGGGAAGCCGATAAAAATTTCCGACAGATGCATACGTACCTACTTTAACCAGCCAAAAATTTCAAATCGCTATGTGAATTAAGATAAACGGGATTCTTTTTTAAGAGATAATGGACATCTTTATAATAACCGAGAAAGTTTTATTTGACAATTAGAAACTTTTTTATGTGATTCCAACTGTATCATTTTAGTGCTTTGAATGTTTGATTTTCTAAGGGGAATGGAAGTAAACTGATCTGAATGTATTCGGTAAGGCTTAGATTCTTATATCGTTAAAGACTTCCTGTGGTATCACTGCTCACTAATGAATCAACGATTATTGATCTCAGATTTTTAAGGCTTCGATGCCTTCTACTAAACTTTAGAAGGTAGAACCTTTCTAATTAGGTCGCCAGAGAAAATTTATTAACCCTGTTGAGAAGTTCTGTCAGTTCTTTGTTCAGATTTTAACGGCAGAATCGAGGAATTTTAGGAAATGGCAGCGGCAAACTGTCAGAAAAATGAAATGTGATTCTAGAAAGTAATGAATGTTATGTTCGAGATTAATGTTAGAACAGATACCACGAATTTGATATTTTTAATGCATTTATAGCTCGACTGAACGTTTAGCTGCTAATGCAACAATTGCTTTAAAACAAAATCAACTGTCCTGTTGAAATAAACGTTTGAAATGTTTAATTTTCAGAAGTAATAGCAATTAATTAATACAATTTGTAATTGTAAGTAATATTCTTTCCCAGCTCGGGTTATGTAAACTAGAACCACAAATGCTTTAACATGAATATTAAAAATTATGCGAGTGTCGAAAGATAATACGCAGCGAACAGTGATAAATAAACCGATTAAAACACAGCATTAAATATGTATGAACTAATTTTTCAGAATATTTTTGACCTCAAAATTACAAGATAAAACATACATGTATATCTAAGATTTAAAGAGGTCTGAACGTTAATGGATTAAGGGGCTAACGATGGTAGAGTTGATATTACACACGTAATCCCGCAATTCAGGTAATTCACTCGTACGCCAGTACCGAACCTTTTGAACGACGTCGCATCCGTCATGCGGCCGGGAAACGCCGAACTTGCGTGCGTTTCCACGCGGTTGAATCGTCAGCGGTGTTTCTCTCCGGATTAGTGATTCGCGTTAACGCGTTTGATACAATACGGGACGCGCGTATAATATAGAGCTGCTTGTTAGTACAGCCGAGCATTACGAACGCGGCTGAATTCCGTTAATGTTCCATCTAAATTCTAATCCCCATTTCAGTCGGTGGAATCGGTATGCGAGCCGTGCAGCAAATATCAATCGATCCCGGGAACAGTATCTTACTTACGAACGCTTAAATAACGCTATGAATAAATTAATAGGATTGCTGGCTGGTTGGCAGGGGAACGGTTTGCCGGTGTAACCACAACCCTCTATCGAGGTATTCACGGATTATTGGAAAAAGAATTGCAGATTTTCGAAACTCGTGAACGTGTTCTGCGGATAGTGATAAATGAATAAATAACGTAGTAATAATGAATAAGTACATACATAATTGTTTGTGCGTATACAGAAATTCCTAGCTTACGAAACGCGTTGAGATGAAGGTATTAATATAGTTCAACACTATACAGGGTGTTCGCGATAATTTGTACCATCGTTTTTTTCATAACTACAACTTTCTCCTCTTCGGTTTTTTTCTAATGATTATCGTTTATGAAAAAAACAATGGTACAAATTATCGCGAGCACCCTGTATATATACTGTAAACAACATAGAAAATTCTCTAGTCAACTAGTAATCTAAAATTGCGATTATGCACGAACTTACGTGATCTACAGATTACTAATCTACAAATGGATTGACCTAGATTGCGACTAATTCCGGTACTTTTAACAGTACTCTTATTAAAAAAAGCTAGCGTAATTTATACTGATAAATGTCTCCTTCGCATAATCTCTCACATAAACTTCCAAGCCGATTTGTCACGTAATTTTTTTTAAAACCACGCCATTCAACTCGAGAAGCATGATATCACGCAGCAGCTTATTCTTTCCAAGCTATTATTCATATTTACATGAAAAAAAAAATATTCATATAACCTGGCAAACCCGTGCGCAGCCACAAGGATTGTTACGACGAAAAGTATTTTTAATAAAATTACTCCACGTCTACGCTGCGTATTGCCCCGCTCCGGTTGAAGCCAGCTGTTCTAGAGCTACCGCCACGTTTCAAGTGGATGCAATTATTAGATACCGGAGCCGGTATAATTTATGTAAATGACGTTGCCTCGTCGAAACCATTCTTTGCGCTTTGGTACAGGATTGTCGGTCGCGGGGTCGCAACGGCGCGGATTAGTAATGGCTATGTACCCCGCCGGTAAAGGCACATAACACGCGTACATAAATTCTGGAAAGGTCTCTCTTTCCATGCTGCCGGGGTCCCGTACTTTCAGAAATGAGCTGCGAAGCATGGCTATCAAAGTGCACGACGGCCCGGCCGGCTGTTTGCAAATGGCGTGCCGTAATTAAAGCAATTCTCTTTTATCCACTGCTGCCGCTGTTCCGACTTACATAAAAATGGAACGAACGTTCGTTCGTAGTTTCGTCTATTCGTCCTTAATCCTCCGATGATGAACGTTGGTCACTCCGAGACCCAGATTTTAAGCTTAAAACGGAAGCTGAAACTTTTGACGAAATGGTACCATCGTGACGGTCGATGTCACAACACTTGGCTTCAACAACTCCCATTCTTTTGTTGTATATATTCTTCCATATTCCTTTATGGTCTAATAAAGACCGTATTACCATTATTATTACCAACATAGGCTTCATTGCGCGAAAACGGTGTTCTTAATACTAATGCCATTAATACGTTCATCAAAACTTTCGTACAACTGCCACAGGAAGTATCGCGGAGGCAACAACAACAACTCTGTGCACAGAGGGAAAGCGAGGGGTGAATCTGCGAGGGATAGAAGTTTAATTCGTATCTACGTGTTTCCACCAATATCAATTCCAATCATGTATAAGGAGCAAGTTTGAATGAATGTTTCATGCAAATGCTATCGCACAACTTCCACGCCACGAAACACTATCGAAGCGTCGATATCGCCACGACACGTTTATAGAGAATTCTAAACGAAAGTTAAACAACTCGTAACGTCTTCGAATGCATACTAGTGCGCCAGGTCCAGACTTCGTGACAATGATGCAAATTTAATGGAGACAAGGGAAACGTTAATCTAGTACAATTCAATTATTACCGACGCCAGTTCCCATTTATCGCGGCGCTTTTACGAGTAAAGACACCTGCTTGCACCTGTTGTCCCTGGATAGAATGCATTCTCCCGGTGTTGATTTTCGGTCGACACACACGCGATAGTCTCGTGAGCTCTCGCGGTGATTAGCTTTCCCAAATTCACGACGAAGCAACAGCCGTTGGTTAGGTCTATCAATCCTTCAGATACAAACGACCGAGGATGTATTAAACCGTTAATGAAATCCCCGCGCACGATCAACTCTAATAGGATTGGACATACTTCTAATGAACAATTGGTCATATGAATGTGACATGTTAGATATACTTACATATTAATTGAAAGGTAATTTATAGTACGTATACAAATAAAAATAATTCATTGACTATGTAATACTTCATCTTTCTGTTTCCATTTGAAATGTCATCTGCATTTAAAATAGAATATTTTAAATGAGACTCAAAGTTACATGAAGCTTCATTTAAAAATGTCGATAAAAACTTGTTTCTTTTAACAAAGGAATCAATTAGAGTAGAAAGGATAGTTAACATTGTTTTCAAAATATTCGTTTCGTGTGCAATACTTTTCCCCTTAAAAACTTTTAGCATTTATAATAATCTGTGTAAGTATACTCGTTACCCTTTTGCGAGTGTGCAAAATCTGACGTTGACTAATAAACTTCGTTTCATGTTTAATACAATATTAAAGGAAAAAGGAATAGAACGTTTTCTACAATAACGTTACAAAAGCCTGATACAAAGGAATACCAGAATGTACCGCATTGAATCGAATCGTTCGTCCGCAATGGCAATTAGTCACTGGTACCAAGCTAACGTTGAAACATGAACAAATCATTAAAATTAACCACAATCTGTGCCCCACCGTTATCAAATTAAATGCATTGTTATGCGTGACTACAGGACCGTAAAAAATTCAATGGATTGCCCGGTCGAATTTGGCGGTACTGTAAAACCTCCATATATTTGGCTGGTTAAAAAAAAAGCACAACCTCAAGCTCCAACGGATTTGTGGCTTAAACGCTTGGTGACGGCTGAACGATCGAATCAATCACGCTTGAGCGAGACCTTTGTTCCCGTTAATTTGGATTTTTACGTGCAGAACCGATTCTTTTCGACGATCTGCTCGTATATTTAAAGATCACCCGAAACCTCCACTTAACCACAGGCAAGATATCGGACACTATAAATTACTTCTAAAATATCATCGTTTCATTGAAACCAATTCTGTATACGTTACGATTACACTAATACTTCTGTTCAGTGGATGAAAATAAAAATGCTGAAATTACATGTACGACAAGATTCCATTTATAGTTAATCAATGGTCCGGATTTTATGTATTTATGAGAGCTGTAGAAATGTTCATTTCAATTTTAATGAAACAGATGCTTTAATCGATAAAACGAATTTTTCACTTGTAACGAAAATAGAAAATAACGTTGGCTTTAAATATGGAAAGATGTATACCATTGAAAACATACGATGAAATGTTTAAGAGGTTTGAA